ATATATATTTATTATGTAAAATATACATAATTGTTAACATAAAATACATAATATGTAAAAATACATATTAAATATGTATATATGATTAGCACGGTTTCTTGTGTGGTAGCTGAGAGCAGTCATACGACCGGAACGGTAGAAACGCTTTGGTGTCTGAGATTGGACACGCGTCCGAAAAGGGTTAAAAATTTCATTATATAGATTCACTTTATACATGTAATAGATTTGATATAAAAACTATTAAAAGCTATATAAACATATTCGTATGCATTAGGCTTTAAAACATTTCTAAAAAATTCAAAAAATCCTACATAACGTTGAAAGAATGATGTTGTAAGTTTTAAAAAAGTGTACAAATGTGTAAAAACGTTGTAAAATTTATAACTAATTGTAACAACAAGTCAATGATGTCAATTAAAATAAAGAATTATTCGATGATTTGTACATAATGTAAATGCATAATTTATTATTAAACTAAAAAACGAACATTGTAATTGTTGGAATGTATAACTCAGATAAGAACGAAAATCAATCTCTTTGGTTCTCTTCTTAGATATCTAGAAAACCATAGTTTATTGTAAAACGTATGAACTTGCATGCTGTAGAGATCGGCTGACGTCATAGATGTCACCGACATAGAGAGCGAGTCGTAAACCTAATATGTGTGCACCTTTGTTCCTTTTACCAGTCTATTCGAAACAGCTCTTTGGTAAAGACGTGCCATTGCTTGTGCACTTAAATATAAAAGTTTTCTGGTTAAAATTATATTTTGTGTTATTTTTTATTTATAAGAACCCAATAATCCTACAGGTTATGGGCCCAGGTTACGCACAAAGTCCACCTGCGTGCTGCGTGTAAAATTTATTTTTTGTGTGTGAATAAATTTTGCTTTGTACAACGGATTAGAAAACAACGAAGTTGAGAATCTCCAGCCAGTTATCACAAAAAGTTTGAAATCGAAGAAAGTCTCATACCACGCTTTGAACAGACTTATAAAACTCAATTTCTAAAGTCAACGAGAGTAACATACATATTCGTAAAAATGGTTATTCTTTTTTTTCTCTCGCCTCTTTGTAATCGCTTTGTCCTAGAACAAGGAACGATCATATTTTCGGCGGCTCCACCGCTTCGCCGCACCCCTTGTTTAAACATTCGACTAGAAGACGAAGAAATCGTGACATTGTATCCCCTCCATCGGTCTGCAGCTAGCGATAAGCATACATCCTCTCTCCTCGATCTATAGCCTAAGGGCCGTACCGCGTGATCGAGAACCCAACGCACAACAATAAATTCATACAAATAAAATGGAAAACTCGAAATTGAAAAGAAACATAAAACCGTTTGATGGTGAGAAGTATAGTGTTTGGAAGTTTAGAATTCGTGCGTTACTCTGTGAACTAGACGCGCTTTAAGTGATTGACAACGAAGTACCAGAAACAATTACTGATGAATGGATGAAAGCAGAAAAGACTGCGAAGAGCATCATCATTGAGTATCTCTCAAATTCATTTCTCGGTTTTGCTAAATCAGATAGCACTGCTGCACAAATACTTAAAAGTTTGGCGATATTTTTGAACGTAATAGCCTTGTTACTCAACTCTCATTAGGCAAGAGATTACTTGGATTAAAATTACAAGGTGATACACCTTTGACAAAGTATTTCACGATTTTCGATGAATTAGTTGCCGACCTAATTGCTGCCGGTACTAAATTAGAAGAGACTGACAAAATAGCTCATTTACTATTAACTTTGCCAACTACATATAATGGCATAATAACAGCGAAACTTTATGGGGAAAAAAAATATAACATTAGCTTTTGTAAAAACAAGGCTCTTAGACCACGAGATAAAATTGAAAAATGAGAGCAGTGATACAAGTGCAAAAATTTTGCAAGTAGCCAGTCAAGAACAATCAACTAGTAATAACAATAATAATAAAGTGACTATGTATAGAAATTCTCAAAAGTCAAAACAATTCAAGAAAGGAGGACTGCACACGAAAGGCTTCAAACGGAATAATAATTCCAAACAATCTGGCATAAACTGCTCAAATGACGCAAGAAACTCAACCTTCAACGTCATACTCAAACATATAGGGTTTTGCATTCATGGCAGGAAATTATCAAGAGAAAGATGCAACAAGCCGGAATGAGTATCCTTTTTAATGATAAAGGTGTTGAGGTAATAAAAAAATGGTAAAGCTGTAATGAAAGGTACGCCATTGAATAATTTAATTGCTATTGACTTAAGAGTTGACTTAAGCAAGGTAAGCTCTAGTTTGAAAGTTTATAGTGCCATACAAAATAATTATGAATTATGGGATCAACGCTTAGGCCATATTGGCAAGGGTAAATTTTGAGAATTGAAGAATAAACAAATGGTCTATGATATACATGAAATAAATAACGTAACGCTTAATGACAACTTGTGTAAAGCTTGTGTATATGGCAAACAAGCGCGTTTACGTTTTAATAAGGCAAAAGATAAAAGTAATGTAAAAAGACCATTGTTCGTTGTTCATTCTGATGTATGCGGGCCAATCACTCCCCCTACAATAAATAATAAAAATTATTTTGTTTTATTTATTGATGGGTTCACTCATTATTGTGTCACGTACCGGATTAGTTATAAATCAGATGTRTTTTCGGTTTTCAAAGATTTTATTTTAAAAAGCGAGGCTAATTTTAATTTCAAAGTAGTGAATTTTTATTCTGACAATGGAAGAGAATATTTATCAAGTGAAATGAAAGATTTTTGTGTGCAAAAAGGCATAACTTTTCATTTAACTGTTCCACAAACCCCTCGGTTTTGGTTGGGTTTTCCTTATCCTTGCAGTGCATGCTGGACCATATGTATTTTCCCAACAGTACAAGGAATAGCCGTCTGTGTAATAGTAATAGTAGTTTGTTATCAAGCTTGAATCATGTAAGTTTTTATTCAAAAGTTTTATTACTTTAAAGAGGATTAATTTTCGAGGGGGCGTGTTGGAATGTGTAACTCAGATTTAAGAACGAAAATCAATCTCTTTGGTTCTCTTCTTAGATATCTAGAAAACCATAGTTTATTGTAACACGTATGAACTTGCTTGCTGTGGAAATCGGCTGACGTCATAGATGTCGCCGATATAGAGAGCGAGTCGTAAGCCTAATATGTCTGCACTTTTGTTCCTTTTTTAGTCTATTCGAAACAGCCCTTCGGTAAAGCCCTTTCTCATAATAATGGAGTATTGGTATATAATAATGGAGTTATGGTAAACGGGTGATATTTTAATATATGTTTATTACCTTCGTATTGCATCCCACACGTGAAAAATCATTTTTCTATCTATACTTTTTTATTTTTACAGGTATTATATATAGATCAATCTAAAATCGTGGAAAGTTTCAACTTAAAAATATTATCTTTCATATTCTTTTCTATTCTTTTTAATTATTTATAAAAGTAACTGAAGTATTTTAATCCATTTATTATATTCCCTATAGCATCGTACATGTATGATAACAATTGTTAATGTATTTTCTTTTTTTTGCAGATACCATGGATCAATTAAATATTATATACATTTATTTTTATTATGCTATATTTTAGATAGATTAAAAATTATTAAATATAAAATATTCGTAACTTGTCATTTCCATATGTGCATATATTGAAATTATTTTAGGGTGTGTTAGTTCTAAATAACATCAATGATTCTATTGAAATTCTATTCAGGTTGCACTCCTCGTTTATCATTTTGTATTTTTGGCATTCAAATTTTTCTCTGGTATACTCGATAATTATTGTAAAGATTTTTTGAATAGTACTCTTATGATGGGACCTAAGAGTTAGGTTCCTTCCTTTCAATTATATTAGGATGTGGACATCTTCAAGATGCACATCCCTCATGGGTCTTCAGAAGCAGTTACCTCCTTGTGGTTAGACCTGAGCAATGAATATTACTTTCCATGTAATGTTTATCATATTTTATATGCTATACATTCCATAGCAAGTAAAATCCAGCCAAAGACCGCTTACTATTAATATTATAATTGTAATTAGTTTCTTTCATTTTTCCTAATTAATATCATATTTAAATTCCTTTAATTGTTTTCCCTTAAATATTCCCTTAAAGAGCCTCACATATCAGGGATAAAAATCAATCTCTAAAAATATTAAACTTATTTTTTTCCTTTAGAGAGCAGTTGTCAGAAGCCCGGATAGCTCAGTCGGTAGAGCATCAGACTTTTAATCTGAGGGTCCAGGGTTCAAGTCCCTGTTCGGGCGAATTTTTTTTTTTCCTTCCAATCCACTACCTGCTACGATGTAAGGGCTTGTGTGCTTTTAAAACCTGCAAAGCTATGCTGAATGGATACAATAGCCTACAGTGAAGACTCAAACCAAGCCTAAAAACGCTCAGACGATCCTTAATTCTCTCCTATTTTTAAAACTCGGAAAAATCATGTTCTAATTTTCTTCGAAACAATAGGGGGGACAGTACTTTTTAACTTATAAATTTAACAAATTAAATTGATAAATTAAAAATAAATTTTACATTTAATTTACAAATACTCACATTTAAAAAATATTTTAACAAATAAAATAACATAAAATAAGAATAAGTATTAAAATACTTTAATAATTTTTATTTTAATATAATATAATATATATTTATAATAATATTAAATATTAATTATTATATAATAAAATTAAAATAAATATTTTAATTTTAATTTTAATATAATAATTTATTATTACATTAAAATATATGTTAAAACATTTTCCTAATCCAACTGGTAACATAATCTTATTTTGTTTATCTTACCTTACTCTCTTCTCCTCTCTCCTTACCTTATCAGTACCTGCAATATCGTAACTGCCCATATCTTTTATCCAATCAGTGTTGCGTTTTTACCTGACCATGTGCATCCAACCAATTCCTTCATTCAATAACATACTATATAAGAAAAAAGTTTTGTTTTAAAACGTAAATAGTAGATCTAGAACATTCTTATAAGAGATTTATTAGTCAGTACCTACAATATTGTAACTGCCCATATCTTTTATCCAATCAGTGTTGCGTTTTTACCTGACCATGTGCATCCAACCAATTACCTCATTCAATAACATATTATATAAGAAAAAATTTTTGTTTTAAAACGTCAATAGTAGATCTAGAACATTTTCACAAGAGATCTATAAAATTAAAATCATATTGCAAAAGTGGACAAATAAATAAAATCATTTATTTAACCTCTTTCAAGATACTAGTACATAATACGTATACATTCAGTTAGGTGTTAAAAAATAGGCTAAAAAATCAAATAAGAAAATTCAATTATTTTCTTTTCGCATTTCAAAATTCGTCGCTGAAGATATTTAAAAAAACATGGATTCTATCGAAAGTCAAAAATATACTACCTACGAGGAGAGATTATGTACTTTCAACGAATGGCCTTCGGACAAGCCTCAAATACAAGCAGAATTAGCTGAGGTAGGATTCTGGTATACTGGAGAAAACGACCGTACAAAGTGTTTTTGTTGTCAGTTAGAGTTGGAGGATTGGGAACCAAATGATTCTCCGTTGCAAATACACGAATACTGGTCTTCTAAATGCAACTATCTTAAAAATAATAAAGGAATTTTTACCAAATTTCCGAAATATAAGAGCTTAGAATCAAGATCAAATACTTTCGATGTTTTATCGGAGTTAAAAGCAAATGTAAAAACACAATTAGCTGATGCAGGATTCTTTTACAATGGAAAAGACAATGAAACTTTGTGTTTCCATTGTGGCATAAAATTGCCAAATTGGGAAACGGAAGATAAACCATGGAATAAACATTTAGAACGTAATTCTAACTGTAAATATCTTACAAATAATTCTGAAAAATTTATTCAATTTCCGAATTATCAGAGCTACGAATCGAGACTAAGTACTTTCGATACTTGGCCAACTTCAAAATCACAAACAAAAGAACAATTAGCTGAAGCAGGAATTTTCTACAACAGAAACAGCAATGAAACTTGTTGTTTTTATTGTGGCAAAGACTTGAAAAATTGGCATCCGAATGATGTACCGTGGCTTAAACACTTCGATCTTAATCCTAAATGCGAATTTGTTAAAAATCGCCAGAATCTAGTTGTATATCCATTATATCAGAACACTGAATCAAGATTAAACACTTTTGGCACTTGGCCAACATCAAAATCAAAAATAAAGGAACCATTAGCTGAAGCAGGATTTTTTTATACTGGAAAAAGTGATACAACAATATGTTTCCATTGTGGATTAGAATTACAAGATTGGACGATGAAATGTGATCCGGATGTAAGACACATCTCACAATTTTATATGTGTAAAAATCTTTTACAAAGAATTTAATAATAACAATGATCAGAAAAAATACCAGGTAATTTTTCAAATCATTCTCCAACCTATGTTGTACAATATTGTCGAATCTAAATAATCTTTTTTTCTTTTTTATGTTTGGATTTATAGATCTAACCATGGAACAAATAACATTCTTGGATAATATTTTAGTACAACATGTAGTAACATCTAATAGTGTAAAATATACACCTTGCGTGGACAATTTTATAATTGTCAGTCGCATATTTCCCGGCAATAAATAAGTATTAATCATGACCCCATGGAAGGGTTATATACCACACGCAGCGATGAAGTTATATGCATGCTTTGTCTTTTGTTCTCGAGATATTCTGAACAATCGATGATCTGATTTATATAACACTCATATAACCTTACATAACATATAAAAAAATGTAATTGTTTGTGTTAATAAATTTTTTTTTAATTTTTAAAATAGAGTATATTTTAAATAGTACCGCCAAAATTACTATCTCCATTTTCTTTTATGAAGAGAATAATCACGCATGCGCACAACGAACAAATACGTGATATTAGAGACCTTGTAGGAGGAACGCACCGAAGAATTTTATGGGACCGGAACTCATGTAGTCACGTGATTGCGCGCGAATGAATCTAACATTTTAAATAGTATAAAAGTTGTATATAGTAATAGTGAATAGTGTAGGAAGTAGAGTGATAAATTGGTTTAAAAAAATTATGAAATAATGAATTGCATCAAATACAGAAAAAAAATGAACCATATTTAATGATAATTAAAAATTTATATTAAAATAGAATAGGTTACACAAAAAAATTATTATAAATTCAAAAAGAAAGATTCAATTAAGTTTGATTTGATAAAAGACATTACAGTATTTTGAAATTTCAAAACAACCTATTTATACAATTTTGATAAATATAATTATCTACTATATATATTATATTTACAATTATTTTAATCATTCGTACAATTTGTTTTTAATTTCCAATATTAATAAATCAGCTAGGATTCCTGGGTATTATATGTTCATAAAATGGCATCAACATCAATTCCCAATTTTCGATAAGTGTAATGAAAGCAACTTTCTAGAAATATATTCTTAGAAAAATAAAAAAATTGTATAATATTTGAATGATTAATATTTTAGTATTTTAATATTTGGTTATTATTGTTTTAGATAGTTAGTATTTTCGTTAGATTTAAAATATTTTACTAATTAAATATAATTTTGTAATAATCAGTATGATTAAGACTGTTGATGAGGCTATGAACTCTCGAGTTCCAAGTGCCACATAATAATAATAATAATAAGACAAATATATAAAAAAATTAAAAAACAGATTTATATTAACATATTTTTATTTCTCAATGTGGTACATGGTCATAATTTTACTCGAACTGAAATTTGTTTGCTTAAAATTTTGTAAATTTTTGCGATTATACCTACGCGATGCACTTGGTAATCTAAACAGATAGTACATATTAATGATCATATTTTTCAGATCATGACATTTTGTAGTCGTTAAATCAAGTTTCTCGTATTTTTGCACTTTTAAGATTTTCGATTCCTCTATTTAATGTTCTAGGAGATGGTAATGGGTAGCCTTGTTTACGAAGCTCTTTGTAACCCGATAAACCACAAGCAAATTTTATTTTATATGATTTATCTAGCGTGGTATTCAGAAATTTTGGACTTTTTTTACACAGACCGGTCATAAGTTTCACTTGATCTTCATTAAAAATAGAAGAAATTCGGTTTTTTAAGCTGTTATTCATATCTACTTTTTGTTGTAAATCTTTGATCTGCTTTTTAAATTGATTTCGGGACTTTGTATGGTTTGTTTTTAAAATCTTAATTGTTTTCAGACTTCTACTTAACAAAATTTTTAATTTTTTAATTGTATTAACGCAATCCTTGTGATCTCGACCTTCACTCGAATTAATTTGATCACAAATACTGTCAATTTCTTTAAACAATAGTCCATTACTTGTATTTTCAGTACTTTTAGATGAAGCGTGTAACAATTTTTCATTAGTGTCACCTGCAAAATTAACGTAAAAAATACTATATTAGACAATATTACACTTCTAAATACTAATTTATACTGTTATATTTACATATTAGATTTCTAAAATAACTTTACTATTGTGGCTAAAATTAGTGACTTACATGGTTGTGTTATTGTGGTATGCTCTTCGAGTGTTACATTTAACAATGAGGTACCTAAAAAAATGAACGTTTATTTTTATTTTTTCCTTTATTAAAAATTAAAAATGTCTTTAACTGTAATTTATTATCATACTTGTAACATCATTTGCTGGAGTTAAAGGTGACGAATTGGATTCCACACAGAAAGCTGAATTCTTTTCAAGTACTGGACTAGCAGTGGAAACATTTTCTGATATTTTTGTTGTTGATATGCTTTTTGCATTTTGTTTGGACATAATTTCTTGTTGAGCTACGAACAATTGAAATAATTTTTAAATAAATTGTAATTGTAATTGAAACGTACTAAAAATAAGACTACTATTTACCTGTAATAGAAGTTGTAGTAGTAGAAGAAGGTACATTTGACAAAGAAGAATTATTCATTACGTCTCCCAGTACTTTTCTTTTCAAAATACTTTGATTAAAAAGTAATTTAATAACTGAAACAATATATAATGCTACTACATATTTATAAGAAGTAAAATGTACAAAGTACAATATTATATATAGATATCAAAATAATATTCAGAATAAATTTAATATCTTACCTTTTTTATCTGTTAAAGTACTAGATTGGATAAAAATAGTAGGTACTGCAGTGCTTTTTAAACGCTTCTTTCCTTCTACTATCTTCCAACAGTCTTCGGAAAAATGTTTCTACAAATGATTTATTTCATTTAATATTTATTAGTTTAGTTTAAAATCAATTAAAAATTAGTATAATCGGACAAAATCTTACATCACATAAAACTGAATATTTTTTCACATTTTCAGCTACAACATTACTATTTTGCAACCACAATTTTCGACGTTCTTCTTTTTTTGGAAAACGAAAAAATTTACGGTCTGGCGTAGTTCTTGTTGAACTTTTGCAGTAATTAAGAATACATTGTCGAACCATGATTATTTATCACAAACAATAAGTCTGTAAACAAACGATAAGTTATAGGTTAGGTTTGTACATTTATACTTGTAATAATTAAATGAGTAAATTAAACTTACACTTATAGAAAACTACTTTAAAAAAACAAAACAATTAAATATAAATATCACAATAAAAACTATAAGTATTCCAAACTTAAACTAACCACAGCCGTTAATACATACTAAAAATAAACATGGCTGCGCGTTGGATCGGAAGCGGTCCCTAAAATTTTCAGCCAATGGCACATGAACAGTATGTATGGCGCATCCCTCCTATAGGATCCCTAGGTCTCATTTGTTCAGAGCGCTATCTCACGGTAAAGGGACAAACTTTACCTCTCATCTTGCGGCTTTGTATAAATACTTGGAAGTATCTCCGTATAACCAAGAAAATTTTTCATTTAAAAAAGATACAGTATTATATTGTATCCTAGTTAATTACATTACTTTCATTTTTTAAAATCTAATCTAGGATCGTAATCTATAATATATTTATATAACGTACAGAAGAGATACAATTTTCTACATAAATATTTACATCACACATAACCTATTCCAACATTTGTCATAATAATATTAATCTATTAGTTTCTAATTTGAAAACAAACATTTGATATGGCTTGTCAAGTGGCTAATGCGAATTGCGAAAAAATGCAAAGTTCTATGGACAACAACAAAGATATAGACTTGAAAAACTTCAGAAAACTAATTAAATCCTACATCGATTTGGTAATATTCTTTTTTATTTTTTTAGATTAGAATAAGTAATATATTATACATTAATATTTAATATGTGCTTTACAGCATTTGTATAGTGCTGCTTTATTTTGGGCAGATAAAGTTGTTTCATTGAGTAACGAAGATCCAAAAGATATATGTACTTTAGCACATTGTATGTATCTTATGAAACAATACCATCGAGCTGCACATCTTATTAGAAGTCGAGGACTTGAAAAGGTCTAAGAAATAATTATGGAATATTAACACATTCAAGACTGTCTACATAATCCTACATCATTTAAAATTTTTGAATTGAATATCTGTGACATAGTTCAACGTTATTTCAAAATCTGTTGCTTAATGTTGTGTTAACGTGTTTAACATAAAAATATTACATTTTTATTATTCAATTTTGTTTAATTGTTAAATATATATTTTTATTATATTTACTGTTAGAACATCCGTTGTGAATGTGTTAATATTATGTAATATTTGTCATAAATTATTATATGGTTACTACAATATTGTGAATTTTCCAGACTTACATAATGTGTCATTATTTAGTAGTAAAAAGTCTTTACGAAGCAAGGGAATATAATGAAGCTCTTCAAGTAATTAATGAATCTGAAATTTATACTAATATAAATCAACCAGGAATTAATTTTAATGAACGCCCTGATATTCTTGAAGATACTCCAAAAAATGTAAGTTTATTACATTAATATTAATATTAACATCTCACGCTATGATCTAACGCTCAGAGCTATTTACCAAAAGTTAGTGCTATATATTTGTTTATTCGTTATTCTATTAGGTACAAAGTGCTATATTATATGTAAAAGGTAAAGTTTATCAAGCTATGGATAATAGAGCGATGGCAACAGATTGTTACAAACAAGCTCTACATTGTGATGTTTTTTCCTATCAAGCATTTGAATCTCTTGTACAAAATCAAATGCTATCAGCAACAGAAGGTTCATATTGAAATTATCTTTTACATACATATAGACATTGAATAATGAAACCTATAATAATGCAGTTATTTAATTTTATTAGAAAGAGAACTATTAGAATCTCTTCCTTTTGGAGAACAATGTACGGAAGCAGAAGCTGAGCTATTACGTTTATTGTATGAAAGTAAACTAAAAAAATATCAGGAACCGTATAAAAAACAATCATTGGCCAGTTGTAGTGTGATGGGAATCCCTGTAATTGATAGATTATCAGATAATCTAGATTTAGAAGTTTCTGAAGCTGAAAGATTATATTATAATTGTGATTATCATAAATGTTTTTCACTTACAGAAAGGTGATTATAAAATTTTCTTCCTTGTAAATTATTCAATATATTATACAATATTATCTTTCTTTTTTACATTTAATTAATTACATAGAATTTTAAACAAGGATCCATATCATACAGCATGTCTACCAGTACATATTGCCTGCTTAGTTGAGTTAAAAAAAACCAATGGTAAATATTATATTTCAGTTAGGATATATTTATCTACAACAATACTATTTGCTTATAATAAAGTCTTTGTTAGATAATATTTATCTTTTTCAGCATTATTTTATTTGGCGCACAAATTAGTTGATCTATATCCAGATATGGCTTTAGCGTGGTTTGCTGTAGGATGTTATTATTATAGTATAGGTAAAAGATTCCTACCGATTAAAATATCCTTCATAATTTCTTTTTTTTAACTTACCTTTTAAATTATATGTTTACGTTGCAGGTAAAAGTGACCCAGCCAGAAGATATTTAGTAAAAGCTACAACGTTGAATAGTTTATTCGCGCCAACTTGGTTAGTGTACGGGCATTCATTTGCAGTAGAAAATGAACACGATCAAGCAATGGCTGCTTATTTCAACGCATCACAATTAATGAAAGGTTGTCATCTTCCACTTTTGTACATAGGATTGGAATGTGGATTAACAAATAATCTTAAACTGGCTGACAAGTTTTTTCAACAGGCTCAAGAGATAGCACCAAATGATCCATTTGTTATACATGAAATGGGAGTAATATCATTTTATAATATGGAGTAAGCTCTTATTATATATTTAAACAATATTTGAAAATCTATCTAATTTATCGAAAGTTATAATTTTATCTAATGTAGTTACAAAACTGCAGAAAAACAATTTAAGGAAGCTATGAAAAGAGTTCAATGTGGACTTAAGGATGTTATTTTACCTAGTAAATGGGAAGCGCTCTTGAATAATTTAGGTCACACATGTAGAAAGATGAAGAAATATGAAGAAGCTTTGACTTATCACCAGCAGGTATAAGATAATATATATACATTATAATAATTTAAATCATTACTTTTTCTTATATGGAAAAATTGAACATTTTACTATAAAAACATGTAAGTAACATTTATCATTGTATCGTAGGCATTAGTATTAAACCCATTAAACCCATCAACATATTCAGCAATAGGTTTTATTAATGCTTTAATGGGAAATATTCAAGAAGCAGTTGATGCTTTTCATAGAGCTTTAGGACTTAGAAGGGATGATACATTTACAACTACTATGCTAACTTATGTCATGGAACAACTTATTGATGAAGCTCCACCATATCCTGGTATATATATAGTTTATTACTCATAAACAATTCTTCGTATTTCAGATGCACCTATTGATATTCCAAAATATATAAATTACATATTTCAGATGCACCTATTGATATTCCAAAATATACAAATCCTGACTCTAGAATAGAACCAGAAATAATAGAATCTACAAAAACTTCTACTAGCACAGTTAATTCACAAGATCAAGACATCGGCAAATTAAGAGTTAATTTATTTTCTGGATGGGGTGAAGATTCTAATAAACCAGAAACAAATACATCTAATAGAATTACAGACTCCAGAGATACCGTTGTAAATTATTCCACTGGTGACATAAGTTCTGAAGTTGAAATGTTAGATTCATCAACGGCTCATATAGAATATAATTAAATATCTCTGATACATGTTTCATAAGGTAAATATATTTATTAGATAATAAATTATATTCTTTTATAATAATTCAATTTATTATTTCAATTTGAACATTTTCAAATCTTAGTAATATGATTATATTGATATAAACAAAAAGTAATAATTCTCTATTAAAAAAACAAAAAAGTGTCAATCAAAATTATTAGTTTTGCAGAAAAGTACTTTATAATATTTACTACTTTCTTGTCTGATGACACCATAATGATGCTCTATATGAAAAACGACAGTCAATAGCTGATTGCATCATAGTAGTGTCGCGTGCAAACCAGTAGTCAAATTCTGATCGAATATGCATATAAAATTAAGTTTAAATAAAAGATTTTATATTTAAATATTTATTGTTGCTCCAATCTGCCTTTTAGTTTACATTTTTTAACATATATAATATATTCCTGACATTTCTTGTAAATCAAGTAAAAGTGGATCGAAAAATTGGTTTGTTTTGAATAAGGGGGCAAGTTAGGTTATCTTCTGCAGGAAAAATGCCGTTTATACGTCTTTTCATCTAGGGAAAGATTAAGGTTGCCACGAAGGCCTGGGAAGACGGAAATCGAGTTCATCTCGGAGGAGGGAGGTGTAACATTTTAGAAACTTGTGATTTCTCTTTTTTTTTCTTTTCTATTTAATCAGACATAGCCACAGCAACGTGTGGCGAAGCACAGCTAGTATGGTTATAAAAGTTATTGACATACTAAAATTTTGTATTTTTTAATTAAGACATCTGAATTATTTTAAGTCCATTTATATTTCACATTTTATTATAAAGTTTTCATTCACATCTTATAAATTTAAAAAAATGACAAAACGCATGACAAACATAAGTACTTATCTAAAGAAATGCATAAACATATATACACACATATTTTGTAAAAGATAAATCACTTGTGCGATAAACTTACAAAATGTATATAGTGTGTATGTCGTATAACATAATATCAGATTAGTTATAAAATATAGAATGAAGATGTGTACCTTCGATTAATGACAATAACTTTTTAAATACGTTTCTAAATGCAACTTATTAATTTTTAAACTTGGTAGTATGAAGATAGTGATTCTTTAAAAAATTATTTTTAACAAAAACTAATTTTGCTACAAATACAATACTCTTCATTTACTTTTTAATTAAAAGGAAGCATTTGTAGTATATTTATAATCACACGTATACAATATAAGGTATATACTATTAGTCACCTTTTTCATAATTACCAGTTGAATGAAATTCACTTCTACTCTTCATGTGTTCAATTTTATGTTATTAATATTAATCTTCCTTATCAATAGCACTAAGTCGCTCAAGAATAGGTGGGTGACTATGATTCCAAGCAGAATACAATTTATCATATAAAGGATAACTTAAATTATCTTTCTGTAATTTAATCAATCCATTTTTCAATGGTTCGCTATATCCCAATTCAACAGCCATTTTATCCGCTTGAAATTCAAATCTTCTCATAATAACCATTGATATAAATTGCATTATCTAATAAAAAAAAGTAAATGTTATAAATTTTTTTAAGAATATGAATATAGAAATACATTCCGAAATTTATTCTTAAAATTAGACCACAAAAATATAATGAAACAAAAAAAAATATTAATTTATTAAAATATTTACCGTATTGAGTGGGAATAAGATATATTTGGTCACAATGATAAATCCAATGAGTATTGGTTGTGAATTCTCAAAACCAAATCCAACGAACATTGGCGTATAATTCATTAATTTAGCAAATGCTACAAAAGTTATGACGAAGTTGATCTATAAAGAAAAAATTGATAACATCTAATATCATTTAATATAATGAATAGAAAATTTATTGATAACTAAAACTATACCTGTGATAATAAAAATCCTTTTAAAGTATGATTATACTTCCAATGAGCTAACTCGTGAGCAAGTACGCCCAATACCTCATCTGTCTCACAACCAATATCTTTATTAGCATCATCTTTATCTGGTTTATAATATTCTTTCACAAGGGTATCAAATAACACAATTCTTTTGTGTTTATAAAAACCATACAAATATGCGTTACTATGCGAAGACCTTTTGGATCCCTCGACAAGATATAACTTGTACAAAGGAAACTTTAAAGAAGCAGCAAGTGCTTCAATCTTTTTCCTTAAATCTCCTTCCGGTAAAGGAGTATACTTATCAAACAGTGGTGCTATTACTTCCGGATATATGATCATCATAAATAAAGTTACAATGACAGAAAATGCCCATAAATAGAAGAAGAAGTAATCTCCACCATTCATAACAATCCATATTACTCCAGACATAAGAGGTACCACAATTATTTCTAATACAAGCACTTTTAGCAATTGATCTTTTATAAAGAATAATGGTTTCTATAATATATAACATAAATAAGTAATTGTGATAAGAATAAATATTAGGAAACTAAGGAAAACTATAGGCAGTTACCTGTTTGTTAAATCCGTGTTTCTCTTCCAATACAAACGTGTCATATATACTTAAAGGTAAATCAATAACTTCAGAAATGATAATTTTAAGAGATACACATACAGCGCTGACAACTATTTCATTTTCATGATCAAGACCAAAGTATTTTGCTAACTGAGTACTCCATTCCCAATAATAATAAAACGCAAAGAATAATAGAAGTATCTATAAAAGTTATGAATCACTATTAATTTTATTTAATAAAATTAATTATAATAGAGTGTTGTGTAACAGGTGGTACAAACGAACAGGAGGTGAATTTACACGTAAAACTAAGTTGAAAATGTAGAATAAAATTGGTTTTAAACCCTGCTCGTTTTTACCATCAATTACAGAACCCTTGTATTTAGTTTATGGTATGATTACTTACAGAATTAAAACATTGAGAATATAAATTTTGAACTAAATTATAATTGTTTCTATCCAAAGCATAAAGACGTGCTTTATCATACACATCTTTGGTCATAATATCTTTTACATTGTCAGGTATGTTGACAAATCGTTGTAACAATTTTCTCTGTAATAATATTAATATTAATAATAACAATAATAACAATAATAACAATAATTATCATCATTATCATAATAACAATTATTTAATTAATTAATAATATAATGTTAAATCATAAATCCAACAAAAATGCAACTTACCTGACGCAAATTCAGATAGAGTTCCCAAAAGTACAGAGCCCATGTTATAAATAATAACTCATAACGGATATTTTCTTCAAAAAAAGCCATGAGGCTGGACATTACTAATATATATATATATTATAAAATATATGTATATATATATATCTATGTATACACAGATTAATGAGACTTAATTATATAATGGTTAATGAGACCAAAAGCATTGTATCCATACATAGGAGCTTACCGGAAACAATTACGTATAGTACACGATCACGTTGTTTGATATAAAATGGCGGTGGAAAAAGTGACTATAGCTAATCTTTAAGTTAGATCCACATGAAGGATAAATTAAATAAAAGATAATTTGTTAACAAATGTGTTAGCCAATCATTTATTTTTTAATTCAAATTATTTGATTTAAATAATATTTAATTGAGTATTATACAAAAAAAAATTATTTAAATAAATAATTAAAAATATATAGTTTATGTCAAATTATGCAAATCATGTTTACAATTCGTTTTTTTTTTGTTAATAGTTCAATTCTTTATTAATAAGATTTCAAGATTATTGATTAAAGTTTGAAATGTTGCTATAATTGAAACTTTGTAAGATAGCGCCCTTATCTGATATTAAAATCAAATTGTGACTTTGTAATTTTTTTGTTATTGATTTAAATTATTTTTTTCATATAAAAAAAAAAACTTTCCAATTTGACGATATGAAAGAGTTCGATTGTGAAAGTTTCGTTCGAAACATTTTGACATTTCTTATTTAATGGCTATTTTAATGTCATTGCAGTGATAAGAGAAAATAAGACTTCATTCTTGGTTATTTTAAACAATTTAAACAATTTAATCAAGTTATCAACCTTAAATTGTTACTTAAAGAATTAATTAAAAGTTTCTATATTAATTTTTTAATAAACAATAAGAAATTAATAATAATAATAATAATAATTGGTTATAATTAATAATAACCGTAATTTTTATACAAGTAGTATATTCACATTAACATATCTATGAATACTAATAGAGTATGAACTTTGATCCAAGATATCTATGCAAGTATTTATTGCGCCATTACAGTTTTATCATTTTAATCATTCCAATCTTGCAAGAAAAATTGAAGAATATAAATTCTCATTCCTGAAATGGCTCAGGAAAAAATGAACATGTCTACGAATCAATTGAAGAATGCATCCTCTCTTTTTACAAGGTATTTGCATGTGAATGAAATATAACTTTTTATTTGTAATACAAATTACAATAAAACCATAAGTAATATGTATATATATATAATGATTTTGAGGTTTAAATAAAAATCAAATGCATGGCATTAGAAGAAAATATGAAAATATATTTGAAAATTCGTTACAAGCAGAAAACTTATAAATATTATCATTTTACAGCACATCGGGTATCCAACCATCTTTTAATGCGTACAGTGCTCCAGCAACGAGTGCTCCTCCTCCTTTACCACCACGACAATCTATGGGATATAACGATTATAGACCAGGTTATTTAAATAGTTATGGGAATTATGGAAACATGAATAATTATTATAGAGGATATAATAGCTATGGTTCTTTCGGAGGATATATGGGAGGATATATGAACAATTCAAATTATAATAACTATGGGTTTATGGGTGGACCTAGCGGAGATATAGAAAGTAGGTATGTGTTGAATGTTTTAAATTAATACTTTCAATAACTATAATATTTATTAATAGTGCTTAAACTATATTATATTAATGTATGTTATATAGATTTACACAGTATGCCGAAGAAAGCACAAGATCTACTTTTCAAATGTTAGAAACTGTCTTGCAAACATTCTCTTCTATTACAATGTTATTGGAATCTTCATACTTTGCGATAACAAACTGTTTTAAGGCTATCTTAAGCGTTGCAGACAGCGTTGGAAAATTACGTTCTACTCTTAGTCACCTTTTGAGTACATTCGCTTTAATTCGTTTCTTAAAGTGGATATACAAAAAAATTACTTACAAGATTGGTAAGTTGTAATAATTTTCTTAATTAATGAATTATTCACAAATATTCAAATATATCATTAATATTGTTTTAATATAACATGCTACATACAATATTATTATTATTATAAAGGTTTACGTAATGAAAATGTTGGCGAAGAAGAATTATGGCAAAGATCATTAGTTCAAGCAGTAGGAGGCCAAGAAAAATCTACTCCCATATGGTCTAATTTTCTATTTTTTGGCATATTCGTTATTATTCCTTATTTGATTCACAAAATATCAAGTAACGTTAAAGAACTTAAAGTAAAATGTAAGTTTAGTTGTGGAATTGAAATTCAATGTAATATATACATTTTTTATTAATATAAAAAAAATTATCATTATTCAATATATTAATATATATAATTATAATTTGAAATATTGCAGGTACTGATCCTAAAGAATGGACGAATTTTAAAGAACCAGTCTACGTAGCAAATGTATTATACGATTTTACAGCTACGTCTAACGATGAAATGAGTCTGAAAGTAGGACAGAAAATTTGGTTGGCCCCTCAACCTTTACAACCTAAAAATATACCTGGTTGGTGGATAGCAACAGATAGCAAAAATGTTGGTTTAATACCATCAAATTATGTTACTATAGTAGCACAGCTTAAAAAAAAGACAGAAGTAAAACCACCTGAGAGTTCTATTTCTAATGTATCTGCAACATCTTCTACGCAAAATGCAAACGAAATAGAACAAAATTCTTTGTTAGATAGGGGAAATAATAATTATAAAAATAGTAATGAAAATGTTGAATTACTTGAAACATGTTATAAGGAAAATCAGAAAATTGAATCTCCTGAAATATCTAATAAGACTGATAATAGTGAAAAGCTTTTGGCATAATATATTATTAGAAAATTATATATAAACATTAGAAAACATATTTATAAATTATTCAAAATATTTAAATATAAATACTTTGACATAAGAATGGGAAATACATAAGCGTTTTTAAAAATTAACCTTTGAAAATCAATTTTCATATATAAATAATATATAATATGAAATATTAAATGTGTATACCACTTTTATAATTATGTTTAAACATACAGTATGAATAAATATGTTATTTTAATATTTTACATAATTTAATCTGTTAAATATTCATAAAAGATGATTATTAGTTACAATCAAAAATCTAAGCGAAATTTATATAATTTATTATAAAGAATATTTTTTAAAAACTGTTTAATCATTATCTCTTTAAGCACTTTATGCAGCTATTATTTAAATCTCCATGATTTAAATTCTAGAAAATTATTCTAATTGTGTCTAACTTGATAGAACATTGTACTGTCGGTAATACAGAAAATATAATATTTTAAGAGTAATCAAAATAGTTTTAATGTTAAATCGTTATAATAATATACTTAATTATTGTGAGAGTCAAATAAAATGAAACAATGAAATAAACAAATTCCTTTGAATGAATAATAGTAAAAGTATCGACATTTTCTAATACAAGATAATGCATGTATCGATAATTTGCGCGTGCGCGCGTGGATTTAAAAAAATAGACCGAAGAATGATTCTAGAGTTTGTCCTTTCTTTCAGTTCGAACGCACCAGGTGCGATAAAATAACTTGCGACGAGTGAAAGTAATTTGTTTCTTTTTTTTTTTGTCATTTTTTCTCATTGTACATTTCAAATAATTATTTGTATTCTCTTGCAAACGTATAAACCGATATAGTTTCAAATTAATGTTCTACTGCGTTACGATCGACGTAAATTTTTTTCTCATAAATACAGAAAGTATTAAGAAGTGTTTCGTTGTAATACAAAGAGTAAAAAAAGAAGAAAAAAGAAAATAAGCATATAAATTAATCATCAAACATGGCTAAATTTTTAGCCACTGTAAAAGCCATAATAACACGTTTGGTATTCGCGTCGCATGGTTTTATCGCTATTTGGCAGGTAACAACTTTCAAAAAGAATCCACTTTTCTGGTACTTGAGTTGTCCAATTTTGCTCCTTTTTTTTGAGGGTATTTTCACGCTCACCATAAAAGAAAATCAAGAATGGAAATGGTGAGTTTTAACTATAAAATTTCATTTATATCTACAATGCATTTTTGGCGGGACTATATTTTTTTTCTTTATAAATATTAAGAATTTCATAAAAGTTATCTTAATAATGTGAAATCTGTACAATATGCACACATTATTGGATAATGAATGATAAATAATTTGTAAGTTTTTTTTTCTTTTATATCAATACTTATTAAAAACAATAGTGAAATAACATGAAACATTTAACGTAATATTAGAATCTAAACTAAATATATATTTTCTTTTATTTCTAAACAAAATCGAACGAATAGTGCTTTTCTAAGATTATACAATAGGAAGGGTGTGTTTTTGTGGGACCATCTCCGTTTGACAGACGGAAATTGAAGCATTAGTAACTCGAGAGCGGCCGAATTGGAATCTACTTTGTATGATAGTCGGATAGGATAAAATATTATTGACTTCGTAAAAATATTGTGAACCACTAACCTGGATTCGATCTATCTTTTTTTATTATTATTATTTCAAACTAAGTCTACAAATTGTGTTCGTTTTTATTTCAGGTTTTGCCCTTCGGTATTTTTATATTTGAGCAGCGTGGTCCCAGCAATTTGGCTTTTGGAGCTCGACAAAGTTGATAAGAGATTAAGATCTCGAGAATCTAATATTAATATATCCGAAAACTTCGATTTATCTAATTTGGCAGCAGAAGATTTAAAACACTTAGAAAAAGCTCTCGGTGTACGTTAAAAAAAAAACAATAAAAGATTCGTTCACTATTTTTTTTTTCCTACATATTTAACATACTATATATATTTGTTACATGCATAATCGAATTTGTAATTATTTTTTTATTTAATTGTAAAAAGGTAAACATTAATTTACCCGACATCCAAATATCCACCGAAACCTGGGTGACTCTAATCGAACAATTTTTAATGCTCATCTTAATAATCGGTCGGTGGATGTTACCCAAAGGAGATCTAACGAGAGATCAGTTGAGTCAGTTACTTTTGGTTTATATTGGAACTGCTGCTGACATTATCGAATTCTTTGATTCCTTCAAGGAGGACAGAATAGCTCGCGAACCTGTTCTGGTATATTTAACTTTGGGAATTTGGGCTTGGTCGTTGATGCAATTCACGGTCGTTCTTACTGCTACTAAATCGAGAAAATCGCGATTATCTTCCGGAAGTGCTATGAAAAAGAGGGTGCAAACGGAAACAGGCTGTTGCAGTATTGATATTTGGGGCATTGCTCTTAACATGATTCTTCAGGTATATTAATCATTATATATATATTTTATATCATACCAAATTATTATACATAAACTTGTATATTGTATAACAAAAATTACATAACTTATAATATAAAAACATATACACAATATCTTTCTTTCTATTGCTGTTTTCTTTTTTTTTCTTTTTTACAGGACGGACCTTTTTTAGCATTTAGACTGATATTAATAATACATTATCAAATAGTCAGTTACATGAACATATTTTTTACCTGTAAGAACACTTTGGTAATACTCTTGCAACTGTACAGATTATACGTCGTTCACAGTGAAACTAATAACAAAAAGAAGAAAGAAAAGTACGAAAAATATGAAATATCTAATATAAGTATCATTTCTCGAGCGGATATGTCGAAAGAAACAAGAAGTAGAAGATCTCAAGAAGATAAAAAAAGGAAAAGAAAAAGGGAGAGAGACATCGAAGAAAATTTAACCGATTCGGAGGATTCTACCGAAGAAATCGATAAATTTGATTCATCGCCAAAGCAAATGATTCGTTCTAAACGGTAAGAGATATTTTTTTTTATTTTAATTCGATCGATCTCATTTGATTTAATAAAATATTCGTTATTTCATCGTTTAATAAGATTTATATAAAGAAAGAAAAGAAAAAATGTATTATTATAGAAAAACTCGTCAAGATACTGGTTACTCGACTTCGAGTTCTCGCAATTCATCAAAACATATAAAATCGCAGAGACAAGAGAATAGAAAGAACAAAGGTTCGCGTAAATACGAATCCAAAAATCGGGAGGATTCGAGTGACGATGAGAAACGTAAAAAAAAAATCGACAAATCTAGCGAAAGATACGAAAGAAGAAAATTTGTGGATAATAAAACAAAAAGTAAGAGCGAAGATTCGAGTAAGAGTTCAAGTAAAAAAAACAAATGTGAAACTGAAAGTGATACCTCGACGCAGGGTCTCAATGATAATAAAACTCTTAGTCAGAGTAGCGATTCTGAATCTGAAAAAAGAAGGTAATTTTGTCTAATTTTAATATTACATTATATGAAAATAATTTTTAAAATCCATTCTATTAATTAAAATATTTATGTTTCTTAACGTTATGATAGCAAACGAATTCAACGTAAACGACGACAAAACAAGGACTGACAACGAAATCTCGGCATTGTTGCTTTGTTTTTTCTCTACTTAATAATTTTCATCGTTTTTGTACTTATTATACATACCGGAATTAACGACGGTTTAATATTAGTCTCTAAAACAAAAAGTAATATTTTATATCTTAATCAATCAGTCTTTTCAAGAGTAGAAAGTCATTTAAAAAATTATTTAAATAAATCTACGATTAGAGATTAAATATTTGAGAAAGCCTTTTTACATAAGTATTACATAATCATATTCTAATTTAAATAAGATATAATAAAATATTCTAAGATTTTAATTATTATTATTAATTAAGTTATATATAAAGTTTCTATATAATCCTCGAGTTTTTTACTAAGCTCTAATTTTTTCTCTATTTCTCGATTCAACAAAATGTAAACTAATAAAATTTATTAACATTCCTGTAATACCAATAACTTCTTTTCTTTTTATTTTTTATGAATTATTTTCATACTTAAAATACGTAATACAAAAGGAACTCTTATTTTTAAGTAATTATATTAATAACTTAACAACTTAATAGTATAATTAAAAATTACCCACATATTATAGTTAACATAGAAAACGTAAAATAATGAAAAATATGATCGTAACAGGATCATTCTTCTTAATATAAAAAACATTAAAATTTTTAAACAATTTTGTTATTCCACGAATCCAACCATTGGACAGATTTATTGGTGGTATCAACGTAACTATTTAGACCTCCTTGATGAGTACCACTAGCTGTAGCACAATATAAAACAGCTGTACTTTCTAACAATTCTTGCAAAGATTGTGTTTTCGTTGAATTCTCCATTTTTGTTGTGTTACATTCTTTTTTTATAGAATTTGTTAGATTAGAAATTTCTTCGCGAGGCAACATCTCATAACTTCTGTAATGAAGCTGAGATTTCCTTCTGTTTTCTCGACGAGGAGTATAATTATTAGCATTAATATTATTCGTACTGATTCTAGCATTTTGTAATGTTGCCTGTTGATGTTCGTTAAATGTTGATTGCGTACGATCAGTGGCATCTAACGAATCTTTGATCTTTTCCACGGTGAAGTGAAATCTTCTCCATTTGCCGTGAGGCAATCTAATACTAGCTTGTCTCTCTGTGAAATTTCCTCTTGAATTAATATCTATTCTTCCTTCCTCTTTGCTCCATATAGTTTCTTTCAAATTTTTCGAATTGTTACGTAATATGTTAGGTTTTTGAATTTTTAAAGGAATATTACAGTTCTCTCCCGGTATAGTTGACTTCCTTGTTATACTTCTATTATATTCAGAAAGAATTTTTGCAATTTCCGATGTCTCGTTTGTAGACCAATTTTCAATGTTATTGTTGTTAGTAGTTGTACAAGATTTATCTTTATTTTCTCTCATTGTTATTTCTAGTGCCGATCTATCGTTTAAATTCTTTTTCACATTTGGAATATTTTGATTATCCTGTATATTGTCTCGTTTCTCTTGTCTAGCAGTAAAGAGACATTTGGTCATAACGATATTTTGCTGTGGCTTGTTAGCATAACTTATCGTTCCCTTTCTACAGAAATGACTAACATTGCATGCAGCATTTTCGCAACTCGAAAAAGAATTTTCTTTTGGTATAAGAGTTTTATAAATTGTATTGACTTCCATCAATGCCTCGTTATCTATGGTATCCGTTAATTTATTTGTATTAATCTCGTTAGAGAATGGTTTATATATTTGATTAGACGATGTTGAGCAACAATGCGAAGTTTTAGCGTCCGTAGTTCTTACAAATATTAAAGAATTTTTTGGTGATGGTCTTGGAAGTATATTAGCAAATTTCAATTGACTGTTGTGCAAAGTTGGAACATTATAGAAATTATTAGACGGTTTTGGTCGTTCCGTAACAAACATTGTTGTCGGTGTTGTAGCAGCAGACCAAGAATTAGTTTCAACATAATTAACAGAACTCTGAATGCTCTGAGACATAGCAATCGCATATCCTTTCAAAAAGTTTTCTTCCTCGACAGATTTTTTCGAACTATTGGTAATTGAGTTGTCCAATGATTTTTTGTTACAATTTCGGAAGTTTTCTGAAAATTCTTGTTGTTTCTCTTTCGACGTATCGGTGAAAGTACGTTGTTCTTGTTGATGTAGGTTTTTCTTATCTTCAGTATTCTTTCGATAGACTGTACCTAACGTCTACAAAAGATATGAAAAAGTATAATTGTGCTGTTTATTTTGAAAGTGGCCTAACTCCATTTTCCAAAAAAATCAAGTTTGCTACCGTAATAGTTACATTTTTTCATGATCTTTTCATTCTGAAGCAATTTGTGAATAATATATTTAAAATCATGAAGATTTTGTAACAAGAAAATTTGCTGATTAATGGAATGATGTAAAAATTTATTTTGAAAGTGGCCTAACTCCATTTCAATTATTTTCCAATTGTACGTGGTTATTGTATAAGACGGACCAAGAAAGTTCGAAAATATTGTATTGACATCTCTATATAAAAATATCAGACAAATTACAACAGCAAAATTCAAAGATATAATTGACCTATTACGATATATACCACCGAAACATCATGATTTCTTCAAAGCCCTTTCACACACACACAAAATGTAGATGAGTAGTAAATTGTTTAGTAGGTTATGTTTGTAATTTTGTACGTTATGTAGTTAAATGTTTTGAATCGCATGAATTATGTTTCTGAAGTGTTTTAAATATATGTAAAATAAACTGAGTATTGTTTTTTTTCAATTTGAAGCATCTTAAATTGTGTTGAATGGACTTAGGCCCCTTCGAAATTTTATAACAAATCTGGTTGTTAATTTTGAAAGTGGCTTAACTCCATTCGTGGTGAGAAAACGCAATAATTGCCACTATTTTAAAACGTTCCGTGACACGTGTGCCACCGGTTGTACACATTAAACTTTATCATCAGGCCACGTGTACCGCCGGTGGTACACTTAAACATATTTATTTAATGCGCAGAAAATCACATGGCCTGAACGACAAGTCAGGCATGGATTTTTTCAGGAACATAAATGGAGTTAAACCACTTTCAAAATAAATGGCTCAATTAAAGATTTGATTCTTTTTCAAAAATTCTATTGCATTCTTAATGTTTCACCTTTCTACTTCGTTGCTTCTCGTTGGACGATGACCATTCACCATTAGGATCTACCGAGACCACTTCTACTTCAAATCGATCAACGATTTCTTGATAAGAAAGTCCATCTAAACTGACGAAATAACGTCCCAAATATTCAGCTGCAAGTCCGACCTACAATAAATACATTATATTTTCTGTTTGTTAATGAATATGTTTAAAAAAAAAAAAAAAATTATAACATGAAAAATATTTTTCACCTGCGGATGAAAAACCGGCCTTTCATGCATTCCATGAACAGGCCATTCCTTCCATTGAGTTTCGTCTCTTTTCGTAGGTGCTTGGTAAGTAGCTCCAACATTACACATTTTACGAGTAACCGATCTCGTGTTCATATATGGTGTGGGTGATGATTTAGTTCGATCAGAGACCGTAAACATCGAATTTTCGAAGGAATCTTTCCTTTTAACCGACAACAGACACTGTCTTGGACATCGAAAATTTTTATCCATGTCTTTCTTACTAACCCGCATTGGATTTCGCCTAACTTCTAAATTTCCACGGCTAAAAGTAAATTCAATGTTAAATAACGATTTATTTCATTTCACTTTTACCGAAACAAGGTAACGTTTCTTTTTTTTTCACTACTGTTCAAAACTCAAACTAAAAAACCGAACACATTATTTCGTATGAATAAATCATCCGAATGGAATTATGCTATTTATCGATTCATTGATAATTTAGAATAAGAATAATGAATAAACGACTCGTCAAAATTGTTCGCACACGTTAACTGTAAATAATTTTAATTAATAATGATATTAAAATGATTAAATCACCAGTAATTATCGCTATCGTTGGCCATTTATCGATTATGTTTTGTTCGAAGTTTTGTTAACACGTTGCCGCAAATGACGGCTATAGCCGTGTCCGATCTTCGTATTTCTAAGCACGATCGTCAAATTAAAAGTATGCGGCAACGTGTTAAAATGTTTTGTACACGATCTCAAAGTAATTCGAGACTATCTGTATGTTTTGTAAAAAATAAATGAAGAACGGTGTCAGTTACATATTACTTCTGTCTCTCTCTCTCTCTCTCGCTCTCTCTCTCTCTCTCTCTCTGTATCCGAAAAAAAAGTTAAACATTCATCTTAAATTCTACCATAAACTATTATTTACGAACTCCTCCAAAAAGGATAGGATAATTTAATAGGAAGATGTTATTAATCGTTTAGTTATTTATTTTAATAATAATAAAAAAAAAACTGAGAAATTAAAAAAAAAACTTAATCAAAATTAAAGAAAAAAATCCAAAACTCACTTTTTATTCCTCATCGTCCGATTAATTCCTTTTATTTTCTCAACAAGAGAATTAGAATTACAACTATCTCCACTGCTACCATTTGTTTTGATTAAATCTTGTTTTTTATGATCACTGTCATCTCCAAAAGATCTTTTATATTGATTAATTATCATTTTACAAGGAAATTTCAATGCATCCATGTTTCCTTTTTTTAAATTGCCGCTCGTAGAACAACCTGATTGATTATTGGTCGAAATTTCAGATGATGTCACCGGCACCGTCATAAAATATTCTGACAGTGCCATCTGAGATTTCTCTTCTTTTTGTTCCAAAGTATACAAACTTCTATTGTTTCTTTCCATTTTTTTTCTTTCTTCTTTAGATTTCCCTTCTCGGTTTATATTATTTTCTCTCAGTGATATTTGTTGACATAATGATGCGATATTTCCGACATTTTCTTCGTTATATTCTATCACTTTTGAACACTTGCTCGAAGAATCAATGAATACGCAATTAAAACATTTGGAATTTTGATAAAATTCAACATTCTTTTCCTTCCAATTTATTAATTTCTTGTCACTCTCATATTGGATTATTTTATTCACAATAGTATTATTTAAAATATTCTCTTCTCCTGTATTTAAAATCAAGTTTACTTGTTTATCCATTTTAAAAAGATACAATTTAATAGATTAGACAGTACAAAAGAAAACACTTGAATCGTTTAACGTTGTTTATAAAATTAAACTCGGAAGATTGTTTTATTCATTTGAAAAACAAGTCTATGTCTTTTAATTAGTTTTGTTTGATCACCTTCAATGTATTATAGCTCACGAAACAATTTTTATACAATAACGAACAAGGATTCTTAAATCGGACACGATAATAATCCGTCACGAAATAAAGAAGCACATTAAAGAATGTCTTTCACGTTGTCTACTAACGGATTGGTCGTTTTTCAAATGTTTTTATTTTCTCACATTGGTACGATGCGTCAAGGTTGCATCAGGATGGTGTTATCTTTGAAAAGAAATGAAGTCATTTTTTTGTTTCAAAGGTACGATCCAAATATTCGAACGATTTTTAAATTCGATCTAAAGAATTTTACAATTAATTACCTATAAAAACAATTTCTTTGATTATATTAGTTTCTTTCTTTTTCTAAAAATAATCTTTTCATTCAAAGGAAATTAAAAAATGAATAACGCATTATTTTCTTTCACAGATATGAATTTTATTTCCCCCAAAAAATACTAAACTATATACTAGTTAATGCTCTTAAATGCATTACTGCCATACACACACATGTAATGTTATACATGACGAGGAGAGACGATGATATACAGTAACGTCGATCTTATTGCACGTAAATTATAAATTAAAATAGAATAAATGTCTTTGGCACTATCTCTCAGCTTAAGGATTTGAAAATAGTATTTACAAAGAAGAAAAGCAGGATCTCTCTGTGTTTCTCTCTCTTCTTGTTTTTTGTTAATTTTGTAGTTGCTTATTTTAATTCATATTGTCTGTAGTTAATGCGAGAGTTGTTAGGACTGAACGTCGATTAGGATTGACTCCTAAATTTTCCCAATTAATCCATGACAAACGTGCAGTCAGATCTGTAATTAAAATCATCTCGTTTCGTTATAGCGTTAAAGCGTTTCTATCAATTTTCAAAATTTGATAAAGTTTTTAATTTTTTCATTGTATTTGCTTATTTTATTTTATAATTTGATTTTAACTATAATTTATTAAATAAACACATGTTACGCTGGTAATAATCAATAAATTCTGTTAACTTGCCGCTAGTATTCCATTCAGCACGTTCACCATTAATTTCACCCCTAAGGCACCTCTCAACATAAGTCAAAGGATCAAGTCTCGCTGCTAGGACTTCTCGAAGAAGAGCAATATAAGCTATTGCCAAACGAAGAGTATCAATTTTTGAGAGTCTCTTTTCGTACGGGAATGTTGGTACATGAACCCTAAGCTCGTCGAAAGCCGAGTTGATGCTGCTAAAAATCGCAATCACACTGACAATCTATTTCTTGTTAATAGGAGATATAGATATGTAACAGTTTTAAGTTTACGGTAAATACACTTACTATATGATTATAAAATACACATATTACACTTAATTAGCGGCGTCGTGAAAATGATCACTTACGAAGAAATTTTCGAAAATGTAATTAATGTTAAAAATTGATTAATAAGTAATTCAAAATTAATTTAATATGAAACCGAGAAAAACAGATAAAAATAGTCATTTTAATGCGATCTTTAATTGAATTCGAACTTTAAATTGTTCATACGACGATTTTCTATAAATGAAACTCTCTCAATGAACATATTCATTATTCTCATATCATGTAGAACATTTAATTTAATTTAGGTATTCGTAAAAAGTTAATCTAACTATAAAGAGTAATTTCTCACCTAAGCATACGTTTTCTTTCACGTATATTTGCGGCATGTCGTTGAATTCTGTACGGACTGCCATTTGGATAGTAACCTTCTTCAACTCCGTTCATATCAGTATCATTATGATCTATAAATAACAGTAAACAAAACAAAAATAATAAAATTATAGACAAAAATGAAGATAAAGAGAAATGAATATTAATTGTTATCGTTTTTTGTTAGAATCGTCAAAATCATAAGTATTAAATAAAAACTCAAATTAGGAATCCATTACTACCTGGTGTAGCAACTGGCATGTGATAGTGCAACGGTGAATGCGTGTGCGAGGAAGCATGTGCAACGTGTTGAGAGGATCTACTCGCGTAAACGCAAGAAGGTAATTCTGCTATATCCTCTTCACTGATGTCACTATTTGGACCGACGTAATATTGAGAACTGAAAAAGTAATCGCGTGATCATCATTATCATCGTTGTCTTTAAAATGAATAATAATTATTAACGCGTGTCTCAAAGGAACGTAAATTTGGCGAATAATAAAGAAAAAAAGATGAAAGAGATCAAGAGATTAAAAAGGAATCAAAAAGAAAAATGAACCTGCTGCAAGCGACGGTGGAATCGGCTGGTCTAGAAGCAGTACCGACACGATGGCGGATTCTTTGACCTCTGTCCTCGTAATCGTATCCCGGATGGCTCGTCATACTTTTTCTTACTTCTTTGATTAAATCTCACGAAAGCATTCGTTGTTCCAGTTTCCTTTTCTTGCAAATTCTTCGATCTTCACTTAAACGATCTTCACGTTCTAAAACGTCCTAGATGAATATTTTAATGAGTTTTTTGTTTTTACAAAGAAATAGTTTTTCTTCTTTATTGCACTTTAGGAATTGAAAAACTCGAGTTTCGTTGAGTAACACTTTAAATATTTTTAACCACTGTCAAATGTTTTTATTAAATTATCAATCTTTAAAGATCAATTTAAAAAATCATTCAAAAGATCATTTTTAATAGATCACTCGCGAATTCATTCATTCTCAAAGATCGGATGCATTTGGACTATCGTCGGTGTCCCTAGGGAGACTGGTTTATATAAGAAATCCCCCTTTTGGGGGATGATCGATACCAACCCCTGGGCGTGGACTCCGTCCAATCAGATTCTCTCCTCTCCGAAATGATTATCACAATCTTTTGCGATTGGTGAAGGCTTAATAGCGAACGTTTGTCTACCGAACGTATCTGCGGTTCATTGTTACTGCCGTCCAAATTTTATTTTAACTTATTTTTTCACCCTCTCTTTCTTTTACAGACACAAATACACATGCGATTCCCAGTTCCATGATAAAACCCAAGCAGAATGAGGCGAGAGTAAAGCTAGAGGATACGATTTATATGAGAAAAAAAATGATATCATCGAGGAACTTTTTTTATTTCATCAAGGATGAACGAAAGAAATTTTGTAAAATCAAATTTAATTGTTTATTAATGCAAAATATTAGATACTTCTTACTGACATTTTTAATTTTTATTTATTCCATAAATCTGATAGATCAAAGTAATATAAATCGATCTAGATCTCTTCAACAATGTTACGATTTGTAAAATAGAAAAAGAAAATTCATCGGAACTAATGGACAGAAAAGGAATACAAGCAGGAACATCGATGTTGTTCCTGTTAAAGGGTACGAAAATTAGGCTTCCAAGTTATATGAATAGGCCAATATTCAAATGAGGTATGTTTAGCTGACGCACAATGGAGAGAACGACGACGTCGGTGAGTTGGTGCAATTATGCAAGGTGTTAATGCGACGACAATAGTGATTCGGTGGGATTGCGGGTAGTAGAGCTTGATAAAGTTTAGTCCATTCGATAAGTGAAAAAGGAGTATATATCTCTCTAGCAATGGAAGCTGGAATAAATCGAGTGGGAGAGAAGGCAGGACTAGTATTGTCGGGATAAGCGATCAATGCACGATATAATTGGGATTAGCCTTCGAGTGCATGAGAACTTTATCGTTCTTATATACCCTTCTGATTTAATTTTCTTCTTTCATATACTTCATTTACATATTTCGATATTATCATTTTGACAGGAGATTGATCTATGAATTATTATTAAATCGAGTAATTTTTAATTTATTTAATTCGACGATTTTTTTTCTTCCTTATCTCTTTTTCTTTTCTTTTAATAATCGTTTAATTCGTAACACAATTATCAGAAAAAACAAATAGGAAATATATACGATATAGAAATGAAGAATCAAAAACAATAACAACAACGACAACCGATACTGTTGCTCTCGTATCATTGCCAGATGTAACTGAAGTATCCACTCGAGTATTCGTCTGTGAATACTCGAAGCGTGGCGTTTCGAGTATCGCCATGACAAATTTCGAACGAGTATTGTGTCCCCGCAAACGATTATTTATCTCAATTTGTCACGATTGAAGGGAAAACGTTGAGAGTTCGCAATCCAGCGTTACGCTATACCCGATACCTTTTTTATCTTTCGATACAACATCCCTAAACTCTGTCACTTACAAAAGTTGCAATTTTTTAAACGAGGTCATTTTGATATTATAAAAATTGATGTGACAAGGAAAAGACAAAGAGTGATAAAGCATAATCAACAAAAAAAATACAATTAGTAAAATTATACAAAATTTGAACTAACAGACAAATATATCTGTTATCAATATGTTAATTATTTATATTACTCATAGATTTAGCGAAAAATGAAAAAGATAGGAATTATTGGATTCCTGGATTTATCAGGAATAATACGGTGTGACAATTTGAGCAAACATTTAATTCGCGATTACAATATTTTGAAGGGGGCCAGAAGCAGGCAGACCCCTTGTCAGCAACAGTCCCAGCAAACGTATACTAGCATACAACCAGTATAGAAGCACGCGCGTATCTAAGGAGTGTATGCACACGCACAAGAAGAGAGGGTACCAGGATTCGAAGGATTCCCCTCCCTTATAATAGAGATTTCACGCCGCAGGCCCCACTTCGGTTCTCACAGTAGGGGTCTACCAAACCTTAACGTTAAACTATTGTCCTCTAAACCGCGAATAAGTTTCGACTATTTTCTAATACCACCGTGGACGAGACATTTCCATTTTCGTTTCATCGAACTAACGCGTGCCTCTAAGTATCTGTTTATAGTCCCGAGGGATCAATTTGTTTGCTAAATTATTTATTGCTCAAATATGCTTACGACGAAGTTACACACGGACGCGGAGGAGCATGTTTCTTTGATTTGCGGATAGATCGTGGTTGGGAAAAGCAAATTTACCAGCCGCAATGTATAATGATCCTGTTCATCGTTTATTGTTTGTTTTCGTTAGCTTTCATTGAGATATCTTCTTCATTATTAGATTCATTGGATATTCTGCTTGAAGAATACCCTATATTCTTCGTTATTCTTTCTGAAACTACGAAACAACAAAGATAACGAGTTCAATTATAATCAACACTTCATGTTAATTTTTATATACTAGCAATAAAATATATTAAACTCATGCTCCATTTGAGTATTTCTAACATAAATTTTGAGTAAAATTGATCTGATGACTTCATGAATAATGAGCATGTTAATTCTGCACGAATAGGAATTACTTTGTAAGAAAAAAAGAAACGATTGAAAAATTCGAATAAAATATGCAGAGTAATGCGGTTGACATGAAAGCAATCGCGTGCAACGACGCGATACTAAATTGCGGCCAATCGAAAAACCAAGAGATAGATAGAAAGAGAAAGAAAGAAAGAAAGCTACCGTTGGCTTTGTACACCCTCGTACTTTCTGGCACTTACGTGAACTAGCCGGCATCGTTGGTCACGTGGCAAAACGTGCCACAAGACCCTCTTTGTCGCGATCCTCGATCTCTCTTCTTTCTTCTCCAACGAATGGGTGGATCACTGCGATTCAACATCCAAAGACACGTGTACCAAATAGGCTTGCTACCCGAAAGCCTGTTTGCGAGGCAAAGACCACCGCTGAGCTCTCCTTTCTGACGTACATCGGTGCAAAAAGTGTTTCTTCTCTTTGTCTAATTCAATGTATAAAAAAGAAATAATAAATAGAATTCTATTAATTATCACATACAAAATTTTCTATACTTACATATTAGCTTAATCACACCTTAATCGTGGACTCGATGATATTTCTAATTATCTCATTATTAAACTCTAACATTCATAATTAAATATCAAATTATTTCTCTTTGCAATAATTATAATTAGAGTTTCATATAGTACTGTTATTATGATTATGTTGCTTATTATTTTATCAAACTGAAACAAAATTCTAACATTCATAATTAAATATAAAATCATTTCAAATATCTTTCATAGGGGTATTTCTCAAAGTATATTCAAAATTTTGATATTAAAAATAAAATGTTAGTAGTTCATCGGGTATAGAAAAAAAAAGATAGAAAGAAAGAGAGTTATTGAATATATCGGACGTTAGTGTCGATTTCCGGGTTTACCAAAGCATCGACAGAACCATCCTTTGTCGGCAGATCGCAACCTGATTGGCAGTAGTAAAGGTATCGAGGACGGTATAAGTGTCGGCAAAAAAGGAGGAGAAACGTGTTACACATAGGCAAGAGCTTTCTGTCAAGGAAAATTGGCCTTACTGCATACATTCGTGCATATTATATATACTTATATATACATGCGTAGATGATGTACATCCCTCTTTAACCGAGAAACGATATAAACATACATGTCGGAATTAATGATAGAGCGTTTAGTTACGCGTCACTTGATTTTCCCAGGGCATTTCTTTTGTATCTAAATAATATAGGGGAAGCGCTGGTGGAAGAGGGGGAGGTCTTTGCAAAGTACATACACTCTTTCTCTATTTCTCTTCGCATGGTCTTCAATATGTCACTGTGGCTAATTTTAGGGGCCAACTACAAATCAGCAAGAAAATCAGGACTTCACAACTAATTTAACAACCCGCTAATCGTCATGCCGATCTTAGATAAGTATTACTCGTTTGATCCCCCTTCACACGATTACAATAATCATATATATATATACAGTTCCGTAAATTCCTATAATTTTGTACACATCAAAAGATAGATATCGTTCAAGAAAATATTACATGTGAGAATGTTTAGAATTGAAGACATCAAATGATACAAATATTAGAGATAGGCTTTAATAATACTTCAGTTTAATTTCAATGTTTAAAGAAAATCCTTATCATTAAAAATTGTTGTTGTGGTAGGAAAATGTTCAAAGATTTAAAAAAATTCGGATATAATGGTAACGTAATTCTATTAGATGAGAACAAGGAGAAGAACCTTTATATAAAGAACATTGAACGATTCAATAAGAACGGCTAGAACATTCTGTGTGCTAATACAATACAAAGTTGAATCAATCCTTTTGGTGTTACATAATTGTCGGTGATCAGTCGTTCGATAACGGTAACTGGGAATTTTCCAACGTTTCTGGCGTCATTACAGCGAGCTCTGTCCGAGGTGTAGCAATAAATTATAAAAGGTGATCGGTAATTAACAGTAACTGCAACTGAATAACGTTATGCGGCAGAGTGGTCGCTGATATGGAATACGCTCGAGGTGCCTGTAGTTGACTCTTTATGGTGGGGTGTGCTCGTGACATGAATTATTAGCCCTTAGGCTTTCTCTCTCTCTCTCTCTCTCTTTCTCTCTCTCTCTCTCCCTCTTTCTCTCATTCTCTCTTTTTTCTTTTCCCTCTTCCTCTCCCTCTCTCGTTACTGCCTCCGGGTTAGTGGGCGGTAGTAGAGAAGAGTTGGAGAGAGGTTCACATTGTAGGCGTGGCTTATGAAACTGCTTCTATGGGGGATACCAGGCGTGGCTCCAAGCTAAAGTCTTTACCGCCAGCAAGGCAACCAAGAATACACCGTCAAGTCATTTCGCATGGACTCCGTACCACTTGCATAACTATTTATGTCCTGGGAACATATAAATGTCTTTTAAATCCATTTCTCGATAAAATGTCTTATTTTTTTTACATAAATGCATCATTTACTTGTAAATATAAACAAAGTGTTCGTTTACTTAAAATAAAAAAAAATAAATTATTCGTTTAAATCTGTTCTTGAAGATAATATAAAGAGATAGTGAATATTTTAATTGAAATATTCTCAGATTTTACATATCTTATTTATTCAAAAAAAATACAAAGATATCTTTCGAAAATTCTTCTCTCTCTTTCTCTTTCCTTCTTTAACTTTTTTATAATACTTGGCCTTATTCACAAGTTAATAAGGAAAAGATAATGTAGTAACTTTACTTTGATATCTTCCTTTACGATAAAATACCATGGTCGAGTAAAAAGAGTGCAAGTTTTCTCTCTCTCTCTTTTTCTAGAGAAAGAAAGGGAATAAACGCGAGAGAGGGTCGAAGCATAAGCGCCATCGCAATCCTACCAAAGCACCGCACTCGCGTTTGTACAGTGGTAATGGGCTGTCAGAAACAGACGCTGGCTGCTCGTGCCTTATATACCAACACCATTACTCTTCTCTCGGATACGGTCCTATCAGCTTGGTGTATAGATTCACCAACCTCACAGTTTATATTCTCTTCTCCCTCCTTAGCTTCCTCCTCCTGTTTCTTCGCTTGTTCCTTCTTTCCTTCACAATCTCTTCCTTCTCTTTTCCAAGTTCTCTTTCTTTCTCTTCATCCAAAACCATCCACGACAACCCTCTTAGGTTGATTATTATCCTTAATCTCGATGGAAAACCTTCTTTTTATACAGGATAACTGATAGAAAATGTCAACAAATTCTATACAATTTTTAATTATTAAAAACTGATACTAATAATCAAAGCATGGTATATACAGAGTATTCTATATACTTTCGTTATATATTCGAAATCTGATAATAATATTGAAATATAAAATTACATAGTTCAAATGACGAATTACAATAAAAGAATAATATTTGTTTTTCAAATTCAAATTGTTGCTATACTCCAAAACAACGAAGATATATGGAATGTCAATATAATAAATAAGACATTCTATATATTACACTAGTCTTTCTGTGATTTTGAATTAGCCAAAAGTAAGGAAAGAGAGAAAGAGAAAGGATGAACTTTAGTTTTATTCTTTCTTCTTTGCTTACTTTAACTTCATTTGACGATTGTCCATATTTCTGAAATTTTAGGAAAGAGGAAAAGGAAATTTTATATATATATATACCAAAACCTCTTTGCGTTTCTCTCGTCTCCAATACGTACTCACCATTCACCTCCCCAACGTAGCTTCCTCCTAGAGAGTAATCAATACTCTGAACCTTCTGCATTGGACAGGTAGGGTGCTGATCTAGATTTCGACGCGTTGACGGAACTCCGTTGGAACTTTAAATGGAAAAGAATTTATTATGACACTAAAGTGAATTTCCTTTTGCGAATCACCCCCCGAGCAAAAAAGCAATCTTTATTTTCAAGGAGATTGAAATAATGAAGAATAATTTATATTTTAGTATATAAACAATGCTGTATCAAGATAAAAACTTGTGTATAATTTTATATTCTTAAAGTATGATTAATTTACTCATCATTTAGATATACATTTGAAAAATCTTTTTATTCCAAGTTTTATAAACATCTTACTAATCTCTATTTTATCTAAATTGTTATAAACTTACATTATATTATTCGTATCATCTATTATCCGTTAAATTATCTTATTAAATTACTTAGTATAATTGAATGTTGTTCATTTACAGAACATTTTTCGAGAGATCGTTGATATTTTCGGTTGATGTTTGGTCTAAATTAAAAAAAAAGGTGGACTATTTAAAAAATCTTAATCCTAAAGGTATTGATTAGTATTAAAAAATTATTCACATTTTTACCTCGATGCTACGTATCATCATATTTTGTAATTGATAGAATTTAACTTTCAAATCTTCCACAGCTTTCTCTCCTTCGTCAGTACAAACCGAAAGTTTATTATTATCTTTAAATTGTTTATGAACCTTTAAATAACATTAAAAGATTCGCCATTTTATTAATATAATATAAAATGTTTATATATATATATATATATATATATATATTTAATTATTAAATCACGTACTTCCGTTGCGTCGAAGTTTAGCGAATTTTGTTCGTGTTTATATATTTTTATCATTTTTTCAAATGCTTCTTTGTTAAAATTTCCTAATGTGATACCTATCAAAGAATTTATATCATTATCAATCCAATTTCAACTTAAGAGAAAATAAGTATTTTATATTGTTTTTCATTTTTTATATTCACCTGTTTTTTTTAATACACCCACTTGCTCTGTTTTCGAATTTTTAATAATATCCTTACTTGTTTGAGAAATAGTTGATCTAACATTTAGAGTTTCATTTTCAATCGAATTATTCTTGAGTGATAAAATGGTCTATTAACGAATTATATCATTTATTTCTATAAATTACAATCGAAGAAATGTAGTATCTATAAAATTCTATTCACAAAATACCTTATTGTTGGCTTCCGATAAATTTATTGAAAAAGTTATTTCATTTATATTTTTCAAAGCGTTTTCGTAAGTTTCAATTAACGTATCAACTTCGGCCTGTTTCAAAGTCAATCTGTATTATAAAATAAAAATATTAAATATTAAATAATATAACATAACATAATTTTTTTAGGCGAAAATAACATATACTAACTTCTGATATAAATTTTTAATAATTGTTAATAAAATTTCCATCTGCGAAACGCTGTATAACGTCATATCGGATAATGTACCATTTAAAAAGTGCATTACGTCACGATGCATTTGTTCGTATCTTAATTTCGATATATTTATTGTTGATTCTTGATTTGAAAACATTTCATTTAATTCCAATTCTCGTTTCAACATTTCGATTTCTTTCTTGAGTTCCGATATGATTGTTTCAGTGTGTGGTCTAACATTATATTTCATTTTAACCGGACGTAATTTCGAAACTGTAGAAGCAAATCGTAAAGTGGTCAATGTCGAATCTAAATCTTCTTTTGTAATGCATACGTGTGCGATAAATCTAAAAAAATAATAATTACGAATGGAATATTATGAAGTATAAAAAACTTAAATATTTTTTAAGAAAATTAAAAAAATTTTTTGTAAAAAAAAAAATAAATGACAATGTCGTTATTACCGAAGCATCGACGTTACAGAAAGAGCTTGACCCAAAAACTTGAAAAGATTATTAGAACGTAATATACACTTAGTAGATATTTCAAAGCCTCTCAAATATAAGAAAAATGTTTCAACTTGAGTTTGACCTAAATTCGCTGCACCTACGTCTGCTGGTGATTTCATGCAATTTCGTTTTCCTACAGTTCCTGTACCTGCCATTTCTACAATATGTATCTATCATAACGTAAAATGGATCTATTTAAAAATTATTAAAATCCAAGAAAAATTATGAATCCTAGAAATATAAAAAAAAATTGTTTTTATCTACTTTGGCTTTCGCCACAACGGCCCACGAGGTAATTAAACTCGTATTCGAAACATGAAGAGTTATTACTGCAGTTCCTAAATGGGAAGCTGGATAGAAAGAACCCGTAACTATAGATCTTCTAGTCTCTCCTTCAAAAAGTTTCTTCAATGCTGTCTCTTGATTGTTCACATTTATTATTGTTACATTCTACAATAATGTACTTATTTAAGAGTTAACTAATTAAAATTAAATATTTATACTATTAACATATACAATATTTAATAGTAGACAATAATAAAATTAATATTGACAAAGAAACCAAAATGCTAAAGGATTAAAACAAATGTTTCATTTAAGTACCTTAAATGCATCAGTATCATTTACTTTAATTTTGTTTTCTGTTTTAGCTAGTAAAAGATCTTTTACTTCTTTACCACGTAATTCAACAAAACTTAAACGATATTGTATCTTATTAACTTTCCTTCGCTTTGCTTTTTCTGTAAACATATCAGACAGAAGCCGCATAACCAATCCTCTGTGCTGAGAAAATGAATTTTACTACATTTATTGTTCATATTCAATACGATATTTAATGTTAACATATCAATTTATAAGAATCGTACTTCCCAGTTATTTCTTAAACCGCCAATTGTAAAACTTTTTCCTGAACCAATTTGACCGTAACTATATATTATACAGTTTACGCCATCTAAAACCCTTAAATTATATTACTTTAAATGTTGATTAATTTACTATTGCATTTTAAGCATGTACTTAGTACTTTTCTATAAGATTTGTTGTTGTTGCTTTATAAACTTCTTCTTGAGATGCGTTATAAAAAATTCCATCTGTTTGAAAACACCAATAAATGTGATTCTTGTTAGCGGATCTCCTTGTATGCAAATCTTGTAAACATCTTATGCATATTTTCTAAGTATAATTGAATATATTGAAAAATTGACTAGTGAACAGAGATAGCAAAATAAATATTTACTAAAAATCTAATCAACTACCTTATGTTCAGTATCAATTTGTGCACATGATTTGCATTGTTTTTCAAGTGGTAAAATTCTCACAAAGACCTTTATATTTTTTTCATTTGATTCTAGTTCATCATCTGTCATACTCAAATGAGAAATTAGTTTATTTAAGTTTATTTGATTTTACTTAGTTACAGGTGTTTCTATTGTATTTAATTAATATTTTATTTTTTCTATTGTAGGTATGTGAAATCTTGGGAGATAAAAAGTTTCTTATTAAGTGTGTTCATATTGTTAATTCTCAATTTTTTCCCATCTTTTTTTTCTAAATATTATAATTCATCAATATGTATGTGAGGTTATTTCAATTTTTTGACTTTGTACGCGTTCAGAATAAGCAGCAATAGTACCAACATCCGCATATTACTCGTTCGTTTCCATTGCATGGATATATCCTAAAGCTCTCATTTCAAAAGTGAATTCGACCAAGCCTAAATTTTATATTACCAATAACAAATTACATTTAATGTAGATAAAAGATGAATATATTAAAAAATAAATTCATACAAATTCTTTATATCAAATCTTGTTTTAATCGTTTGATTAGGTGCATTCAGTTAATATTAGAAATCATAAAAGTTGATCTGTTATTAAATATTATGTCACAATCTATATATATATTATATAAAATTTAGTTAGATATAATCATTTAGATGATTTTATTTATAAATAAAATATAAATAAATAATATATCACATTTATTTCATGAACTTTTATTATATATATATGAATTATTTAATTATAGGTGTAACCACATTGCAACATTAGTTTATTACCACGCATGCGCGCGAATAAAACCAATGCATTGTCGCTATCCAATCAGAACGTTCCTTTCGGGCGTAGACCGGCTCCTTCAGTTATGGGGAACTTTTTAACTCCGCCGGAAGTAATGACGTCATAAGAGAAAATTAGATGACAAACGAATGATGCATTTATCTGTACTGTGCGTTCTTCCAATATTTGATGTTGTTGATTCAGTGATAAATAATTTAAGTGAAAACATTATTTAATTAACTATTCTCTGAGTCGTACATAACTGCTTTTTTCATGAAGGTAAGGATATCTTCCATTATATATTCGTCGTATTAATAATCAACTTTACAAAGGCTCACCTTTAGTTCCTTTTTTTTATAGTGAAAGTAATCTAATGTATATACAGTGTATCTCTCTATCTAATGTATTTTATATTATCACTTATTCCACGCTATAAAATGGTTTTTTCATACGTTATTTAAATTAAATATTATAATTAAAATTATAAATGAACAAAATCGAATAAAATCGAATATTTCGTAGGTACGACTATATAAATAGTAAAAATGTTAGAAATAAATTAAATTATAGTTTAAAAGCTTTAAATTATCTTTACGCTAGATTATTTTTTTAATATCATTTTAATATCAGACATTATAGATATCTGTGTTGTCTGATTCAATTTTTACTATTAATTTATTTTTTTGTCGTAAAGAAAAGAAAAAATACTAAAATTTAATTTGAAAATATGAATTTTTGAAAACTAAGATGTATAAATATTATTTTTTTATTATTATAGGATAATATTGCAAACGTAACAATGTCTGATCATTTTGGACCAATAACTTTAAAATGGGATCCCAAAAATTTGGAAATACGCACTATGTCTGTAGAAAAAACTTTGGAACCATTAGTGTTGCAAGTAACTACGTTAGTTAATACAAAAGGACCCAGTAAGAAAAAGAAAGGAAAATCTAAAAGAGCTAGTGCTTTGGTTGGAACGGTTGAAAAAGCAACTGCTAATTTTATCGAGAAAGGAGAACAAATTGCCTATGAAAATCCAGATATTACTGCAGAAATGTTAAGTGCAGTAGAAGAAGTTAGGAAAACAGGTGCTGCAATGAGTATTGCTGCTAGGTATGATTAATTATTTTATTTATTTGTTCTTTTATTTTGTTATATTAACAAAACATATTTATCATTTAATAATTATTTTATAGAGAATTCTCAGAGGATCCTTGTTCCTCTCTCAAACGTGGTAATATGGTTCGTGCAGCTAGAAACCTTTTATCTGCGGTTACACGTTTATTAATCCTAGCAGATATGGTGGATGTACATCTTTTATTAAAATCATTGCATGTAGTTGAAGATGATTTAAAAAAATTAAAAAATGCTTCATCGCAAGGTGAATTATTGGAAAACATTAGACAATTTGGAAGAAATGCATCTGAACTTATGAATCAAGCAGCCAAACGTCAACAAGAACTTAAAGATCCACAGTTGAGAGATGATTTAGCAGCGGCTAGGGCTGTTCTTAAAAAACATTCTACCATGCTTTTAACTGCTTCCAAGGTTTATGTACGACATCCAGAATTAGCTGCAGCTAAAGCCAATCGTGATTATGTGTTAAAACAAGTTTGCGAAGCTGTGAATACTATTAATGATGTTGCACAAGGAAAGACTCCAACTGATAGTCAACATCCTTATGATGGACCAGGAGAATTGGCAGCTGCATTAGATGATTTTGATGAAAGAATGGTCATGTCTCCACTTGCCTATAATGAAGTTCGTACAAGACCGAGTCTTGAAGAAAGATTAGAAAGTATCATTAGTGGTGCAGCACTAATGGCTGATTCTTCATGTACTCGAGATGAGCGTAGAGAACGTATTGTTGCCGAATGTAATGCAGTTAGACAAGCACTTCAAGATTTACTAAGCGAATATATGAACAACGTAAGTAAATTGTTTTATTTATACATTCTTCTTAACAAAAATCATTATTATTTTCATTACTATTATTATTATTATTATTATTATTATTATTATTATTATGTTTTTTATAATATTTCTATACAGTCTTATATGTTATGTTAATGAAATTGTCAATTTTATACTTCTTTATTGCATTTATTTATATAATTCATGTTACATTCATTTTATTGATTTATTTCTATTGGTGGTGGCAGTTACAGCTCGCACGGGGTGGGAAACGGGTAAATATACAAAAACATAGTTACGAATATCTTGCACTTTTGTTGCATATCATCTGTAATATACACTATTACATTGGTTTTTGATACTTTTATACTTGTTTTTATACAATACTAGCATCATGCATTATTTGTGCATTTTGTTTGTCTAACAATCACTAAATAATATTTTAATAACCGCGTAATTATACATATTTTTTTCTTTTTTTTTTTTTGCACTATTTTATATATTAAAAATAAATAACTTTTTAGTCATAGCGGGCTATCCGTTACGTATGATACAATATGTAATTATTAATTTACAAATTAATAATTGTAAGTATATAGAGAATCGTAGCTCACAAGTACTGTAGTTTGTCTTCCATTTTTGTAAATTTTAGAAATAATAATTTTTAACTGTATAAACAAATGTGAAATTATTAACATTTTTAAATAGGGAAAAGAAATAAGAGTGTATTTATTCTTTATATTATATTTATTTACTTCATTAATTATCATATTATTTATTTGAAAAAAAATGTATTATTTTATATTAATTTATTGTATAAAGTTACAAATATTAGTGGTAATTACGATCTCTTTTGTTACCATATATTATCAGTTTTACGTATTAATAGCTAACTATACTAATTATAATTTGTTACTTAACTTATATATTTAATAAAAATTATGTCTTTCTAATTAAAAATAACTTTAATTCTTCAATGTATAAGTGACTTAGAAAAAAACAAATAATATAAAATGGTTGTATGTATACTATTAAATTCTGTACATAGTCTTATTAAAAGGTTCACGTAAGCTGTATAGCACATAGTATTCATATATTTCTTAGAAAAATGATTTATTATGTACAAATTTTATATTTTTATTAATTATCATGAATATTCTGACAGATGGGTGTTAAAGAACAAACGGAAGGCCTAGAAAGAGCAATAGATCATATGTGCAGAAAAACACGTGATCTTCGCAGACAATTACGAAAAGCTGTTGTAGATCATGTTTCTGATAGTTTCTTAGAAACAAGCGTACCTTTATTGGTTCTTATTGAAGCTGCAAGAAATGGTAGAGACAAAGAAGTTGAAGAATATGCATTAGTATTTACTGAACATGCAAATAAATTAGTCGAAGTAATCATTTGAATTTTATAATTAATGAGATATTATAAATAGTAATATTTTCCAATTGTAATCGTATATATATATATTTTTTTTAGGTTGCTAATTTGGTATGCAGCATGTCAGGTAACGAAGATGGCGTCAAAATGGTACGATATGCTTCATCACAAATAGAAACTTTGTGTCCACAAGTTATAAATGCTGCTCGTGTTTTGGCTGCTCGTAGTCGATCAAAAGTAGCGCTCGATAATATGGAAGTGTTTCGTCTAGCATGGGAAAATCAAGTGAAAGTACTTACAGAAGCTGTTGATGATATAACAACTATCGATGATTTCTTGGCAGTATCTGAAAACCATATTCTCGAAGATGTAAATAAATGTGTATTGGCTTTACAAGAAGGGGATGCTGATACTTTAGATAGAACAGCAGGAGCAATCAGAGGACGTTCCGCTAGAGTTTGTAATGTTGTTCAAGCAGAAATGGACAACTATGAACCATGTATTTATACCAAGAGAGTCTTAGAAGCAGTGAAAGTTTTGAGAGAGCAAGTAATGCCTAAATTTGCACAAAGGGTTGAAGTTGCAGTAGACGCTTTAGGTAGTAATCCTGCAAAAGATGTGGATGAGAATGATTTTATAGATGCATCTAGATTAGTATATGATGGAGTTCGTGAAATCAGACGTGCTGTATTAATGAATAGAGTAAGAAGCCTTTTATTTTTTTCATTATTTGAATTTCAGATATTTTTGTTTAACATTTACTGTATTTTAGGCGGACGAAGATTTAGATCCAGAAGATGTAGAATTAGACGAACATTATACATTGGAAACTCGTAGCAAATCAAGCGCTCAAACTGGTGAACATGGAGTTGATGAATATCCAGAAATTAGTGGCATAACCACAGCACGTGAAGCTATGCGTAAAATGCCAGAAGAAGATAAACAAAAGATTCTACAGCAAGTAGAATATTTTAAGAGTGAAAAACTCAAGTTTGACAAAGAAGTTGCTAAATGGGATGATGCTGGAAACGACATTATAGTTCTTGCTAAACATATGTGCATGATTATGATGGAAATGACAGACTTTACTCGTGGTCGTGGTCCTTTGAAAACAACAATGGATGTTATTAATGCTGCTAAAAAGATATCAGAAGCTGGCACCAAATTAGATAAATTGACAAGACAAATAGCAGATCAATGCCCCGAAAGTTCCACTAAAAAGGATCTAATAGCATATTTACATCGTATAGCTCTTTATTGTCATCAAATGAATATTAC